ACCAGAAACAGGCTCCAGGCCTGCGGGCGCTGCGGTGGCCATTTCTTTCCACCCTAAGGCCAACGAAACCAGCCTGAGACTGGATACCTAGCGGCCAGGAGCACTTGGGGCTCCAGGAAAGCGCTAGAGAAACCCAAATCTGCGCAGTTGGGGCGGGGAGAATGTAGGGTGGCTCGGCCTCTAGCTCCCAGGATTCGGTGCGCGAGCCTCCTCCGCAGTGTCCTGGCTGCTGCCGCTCGCCTGTGAATGTGTCCCGGGAGGACCGTGCACCTCTCCCCCCGCGCACACACTCCCCCACGCATCCTCTTGTCCCCGAGCGCTAGGCCAGACGCAGACCAGGGGGAAGGTGATGGAACCCACAGCAACCTCCGAGAGCTCACGGTGTACAAATTGCTGCAGGAAGAGCGAGGCGGGTCTTGCGTTTTATAATCCGGAACGGGAAACGTTGGGGAAGGGACCAGGGTTAACTTCGACCTCAGCTGGGGCAGATGCGTAAACCTTCAGAAACCTCCACAAAAATTAAATGCCCTTCCTTACGACTACAATAATAGCAAATGGAACACTGACAGTATCTCATGAACAAATGAATATTTGTGATAATAAAACTCAAAGTGGAATCAACCCTATGCATCATCCTCTCCTACGTTACGCACAGCGTTGCAGAGAAAAGAAACAAAATACACACCACTCTCCCGCTCTGTCCCAGGTCTCTCCTCACCCCTTACCTCCACCCCTAAAAATTCGGTGTCGAAAAAGAGGCCCCTAAGACGCACTGACAATTTTTAAAACGGGAATTGGGGCTCGCTGGGGGCGGGAAGCGTTCTGTCACGTTATCTTTCTAGGCGCCGCTATGGAGAAGACCCTGCAAACCGCGCATGTGTGAGTGTGTGCGTGTGTAAAATAAGAAGTCGTGAAATTTTCTGTGTTTTGCAACTTTGACTCCTTGGGCTCTAGCCTGCACCAGAAGGCCAGAGCCTGTGCACGGGACAGATTTTGCAGGTGCACGCGACCCTAATAGGTCGCAGCCCCGTGTCCCTTTTGCAGTCCTTTCTGAACCCGGTTTCTGCAAGTTTGGGCAGGCAACTCGGGCTCCTTCTCTGTCCTCCTTTTCGTCCCTGTCTTGTGCGGTTTCCATTCGTTCATTCATTCGTTCGACCTCTCATTCATTCCAAACTTCCTCCCACCGCATCTTCATTCGTTCACCACTCTCTCCTCTTCTCCGCCCCTCCCCAACCCCCACTTTTCTTGCCAAATGTCAGTGATTTGGGACAGCTCCCAGGCATGAATTAATAAAGACTGAGGCTCTGGTGCAGGAAAGAGCAGACATTAGGGGAAAAAATACGTTCAATTTCAACTCCATAGCCTACAAGCGGTCATTTTCAGTCTGAGGGTCATGTGTTCAAAACACATCCCTCATGCACAACTGCTTTTTATTTTTATTTTTTTAATTCTCAAAGTAAGGTTATTTCCCACAGAGAAAACAGCACAAACCTTCTCGGATTAAAACCCCTGTCTCAAAAACAATTACCTCTCCTGTTCCCTAAAAATTCTCCGGCTAATTGCAAAATGCCAATGCAATTATTTGCAACATTTAAGGGATTTGCTGCCTTTAGAAATGTTCTTTATTTATTGCAGCTCTTTGAACTAATGTCAAATATTCAAATCAACCAGACTGGAAGCATTAAGTCATTCCTTAGAATTAAAGGAAAACAGCAACATCCTGCATACACACACACACTAACATCCTATAATGTTCTTGGGGAATAAAAACAAAACAAACAACCAGATCCCTCAAAATCATGTTAACTGCATAAAATCCCATTGCAAAGAATCAATTTTAATGTCCAGAGAACCCCAAATCCTGTGTCCTCCACATTTCTCATATAGAAAAATTGTTTTGTATTCTTTCTCTTGCCCCAAACCAATTCCCTAAAGCAGCCCCCACCAAAATACTGCAAGGATTTGTCTGCAAA